CAAGTTATAATTAATCCTCCAGTAAAAGTCATCTAATAAAAATACATCAGAATGAAGGAAAAAAGTTAATGGCAAATAGGAAGGAAGAGAAGGTTAACTTATACCAGATGAAATGAGTTCACATAGTTTTCTGAAGAGGTATTCAGCGACACAGCAAGGACCAGACAAATTGAACAGAGCAAACAAGACTGCATCCTGAGGCAAAGAGAGACAAATTGTTAACAGAACAATTAATAAGCAAAGTGATGAGGTGAGGAAAACTGCAGTTTTTAAAACTGTTTAGGAAAAAGAACAAAACAGTTGGAACTGAGCACACTTTCTTTGGGAAGAATATCTGGTCAAGGTTTTCCATTTCTAGAATGGTAGCCATGTTTCTTTATTGCACCAAAAATAACAAATGATTTGTGTCAGTTTAAGGACTATTACACACACACACACACACACACACACACACACACACACACGAACAACAGGAATACAGTAATGCAGGAATAGAGAGATCAATTGAAATAAAAAGATCACCATTATATACTGAACAGGTTGCTGAGGGAAGATACAGAAAGGGAAAATAAAGAAAATTAAAGAACAAAATATAAAGGTGAAGAGCATAAAATTCTTAAAAGGTTTAGTAAGAGGATCAGTGTAGATTCCAAAAGAAGAGTAAAAGGAAATAATCTGTTGTCTTCATTGTATTTATTTATACCCCGCCTATCCCAGCAATTGGATTGCTGCTCAGGCAATGGAAAAGGATAACTAACAAAACTGAAATAAGTTATGTATAAATCCATACCATGGCTTCAGAATGAGAAGATATAAGATAAAAAAGGATTGGACCACTGAGTCACCACATAGACCAGTATGGACTGAAATCACCCAGAATAAGAGGAGGAAGAGAATACAACCAGAAGGAAAGCCAAAAATCAAAGCCAGATGAGAAGTTAGCCAAGGGATTAGAAAAATGACACATCACAACAACAAGAATTTCAGCAGAACAAACTAAACAACATGACACCTGAAAGAAAAAAAAGATAATATAGGAAATGAAAAGATAGGAATTGGTAATAGATGATAAGAAAAGATCCCACATCTTCACTGTGACCCACTAAATGGGATTATGTGAAAAAGAGAAGTGTATACCAGAGATGCTGGAGTGATAGAATAGATGGTAAAATCAGAGTTTGGAACAAAACAGAAAAAAAGGAAAATCATAAACAGCAATTGCCTAACTGGCAGAAAAACAACAGTTGAACAGAGTACAAGGAAAGTAATAGATGAATAGGAACAGAAATAAAATTAGACACCAGGACATGGATTGAAATAAGTATTATTACAGGCTAATATCAGTAGATAAGACTGATTAATAGCAGAAAAGAAATAGGGCCAGACATTAAGAAAGATGACTGAAACAAACAGTAGTTGGCCTTGGTTATGAAAGCCATTTGAACTGGAAGCCAAAGCCAAGCAGGTACACTTTCAGTTTGATCCCCCTGTTAGAATCCCAGATAAAAATGCAAATTGCAAATGATAAGATTCTTTCTGACTTATCTGGTTAAATACTTCAGAGTAGCTTATTTGTTTTCCAAAGACAGAACATCTGCCTTCTTTAGGCTTGTAAAAGTGAGAACATTATCAATGCATATCGAATGGTGACCTTCATAATGGATTGCACTGATTAAGACATGAGTTCTGTGTTTGGACAAATATTACTTTAATATACAGTTTGGAGTCAGGTGAACAGGGAGGTAGACAAAAAGGATACAGTAGGATGGGGAAAGTTGCAAAAAAAAGGGCAACCAAAATGGTCAAGGGATTTGAACATCTTCCCTACAAGGATGGTCAAAAGCGTTTGCAGATTTTTAGTTTAGAAAAAGATAACTATGTAGAAAAAGTCATGTTGATAACTGTGTGGTAGTCTTATAAAATTATTTATGGTGTGGAGAAAGAGGATAGAGGAAAAATGACCCTTAAAATGCTACAATGCCTGTGGCTTAGTAGATTAAGCACAAAAAAGTAAAGCACTTCATGTAAAATATAAATTAATGTATGGAATTCATTTCACAACATATGTCAAACCTATTGGTATAGGTAGATGGCAATGCCCCCCACCCCCATCCCTGCACGTTTAATAGTGGGTTTCTGGCATTCCTTTCACCTAATTAATTAATTAGAGGGCATTAGAAGTAGCACTGTACACAGCATGTCTTACATCCTTTTCCACAATGGTATCAATGAGAGGGCCATGATAATCAACAGGATCATATTTCCTCTGTCTCTCTCTTGACAAAAATCATCTGGCAGGGTTAGCAAGGCAGGTTCTGTGATAAAATTAGGCTTGAGCTCCAAGTGAAATGAATCCAAAATACAATTTCATGCAACAGTAATTGGAAAAGTTGGTTGTCAACTACCAACTCAAATACCTTGCCCAAGAAGAGAACATTATCACCAGAAGATAGTTGTTCATATAACAAAAGGTTTATTCACAAGTTGTCATTCCAAAGTTTGGGAATAGTAAGAGATGATTAAGAGAGAAGATTATGCACTGTCACATGACAGAGGAAGTTTATGTCATGTTCTTCCTCATGTGAAGCAGATTAATTGCTATGAAATTTGGTGGGGTTTTCAGTGTATCATCACAGGCTTATGGCTTATCTTTCAAGGTATAACAGTTTTGGAAATATTTTGATGTGGTGTAGAACATGATGGTTGGAACAAATGTTTGAAGCAAAGGGCTTGACTTTATATCTCTGTTTTTCTTACGGAAGCAGAATTGAGCTACCAAAAGCTAATTGACACTACTTCAGTTACTCTGCTAACTACATCCTATTACTTACTACACCATCTCTATGCTCCAAGGAGCAAAGACCCCAACTTGGGACCCAAAGATAGGGAAACAGTAATATAGTAATATGGAGATATAGTAATACTGGCAGTGCCTTTTTCTGCTGGAGATCATTGGGGTTGTGTTACCCTATCCTGCCCACCAAGATAAATCTCTGGATAGTGTGAATAGGGCAGCAGACAATGAAAGCAATCTGGCCCTTTAAGCATTATTCTGAATGCTTTGTTGTTTCCAAAGGGCTGCTGATGGTAATGATTTATTTCATTTCTGTATTGCCCCATAGCTGAAACTCTTTTTTAAGGGTAAGCACAGGGCTGCTTACCCATATCTACTGAAAATATTGTTCACTTTTCTGAGTGAGGCCAATTGTACAATGCATGAACTCTTGAAATGATATATTTTGTTCACAAGCTATGAATGCTACATTGTAGTCCTAAAACTTTCATTTTTGATACCATACCCATATCCCTAATACGCATACTCTGACCCCTAAATAGAAAAGATGGGTTTATAACTTTCATACTTGCATTACTGATATGAGCTGAAAAATAAAGTGCTCTTTGAATGTGCTACTTATTTGACAGTATGAAACTTAAATACTTTGTCCACCTAAGAGAAGGAAGGACTAACTGGAGAAGAGCCTAATGCTGGGAACAACTGACAGCAACAGAAGAAGGGGACGGCAGAGGATGAGGTGGATAGATGGAGTCACTGGGGCAGTGGGTGTGAGCTTAGCTGTACTCCGGGGGATGGTGGAGGATGTTGTCCATGGGGTCGTGATGGGTCAGGCACGACTGCGCAAATAACATAACAACATAACATAACGAGGACTGCTGCACATTTGCATTTGAAATCTAGTAGTCTTTTTCAACCAAGTATTTCTGAAATGTGATGTGAGCTAAATATGTGAGTTTCCATCCTTATTTTTTAATAGGGGTATGGGATGAAGTTTTAACTTACACATGAGGAGACAGAGTAAACTCCTATAGAAGGAACCATTAGAAGACTATTTTTAAGGCCATGAAAATGTGTGGTTCTTTAGGCCTGGTGGAACTTGCACTCTGTGCATTAATATTTTGGAAATATTGGATCAAAATGGATCAAATTGGAATTCACATTTTTGGAATATTAAGTATTAGTAGGGTTGATTTTTTAAAAAACCAGTTGTCTCACTCCTTTAGTACCGAGTACTCATGGAAGAATGTAATACAGAAAAATCATCAGGAGTTAGCACAGCCATAAAATCCAGCTCTCTTCCCTCCTCCCTTTCCTTTCTGCCTTTACTTCTGCAGCGTTTGTACTTCAACTGCTTCCTGGTCTCACAGAAAGAGGCAGTGCTGAGTTAGAAAGACAAAAATAGACCTTTACAGAGAAATATAGGGATTGTAAGTGTGTGTGTGTGTGTGCGTGCGTGCGTGTGCGCGCGCGTGGTGGTGGTGAAAGGAAGACAGCATTAGGGCTGATTTCCAGGAGGAGCCCTTCTCTCTTTTCACTGTGTGTTAGGCATTTTGTCAAGATTTTTATTCTGTTTAAAAACACTTACCTCTTCCGGAAGCTCTTGCATCTCTCTGGGGGAGGAAAAAGAAAGCAACTGTGATCAGAAAACGACCAGAAACCAAGAAAAAGGAGAGATACCAGCACAGGGATATAAATATCTTCTGTTTAGATTATTTCTTTGAATAGAAGTATACATTAGTAGTGCAAATCTGACATACACCCTAAGAGACAGCAATGGGGTGTTTGGGCAACAGCAAAACGGAGGATCAGCGTATTGATGAGAAAGCACAGCGAGAAGCCAACAAAAAAATAGAGAAACAGTTGCAGAAAGAGCGACTGGCTTATAAAGCCACACACCGTTTGCTTCTGCTGGGTAAGGAAGAACGTTTTTTTGGTGGGGAAGGGAGATGAGGGTGCAGTGGTGCAGCTGAGTTTCCCATGGCAGGCAGATAATAGATAAACTGTGCTATTTGTATGCCAGAGAATATGAGATGAAAGAATGCAGACCCGTTTTATTAAGCTGTGTGGGGAAAATGCACGGATTGACCTAAATACGTGTATGAATGTTTTGGGAGAAGAGAGATGCTTTCAACCTTTTTTCCCCATTTTCCTCCCTGCCAAATGTGTATACATCACGCATCTTTCTTTTTTCTCTCTCTTTCAGGGGCTGGTGAGTCAGGAAAAAGCACTATTGTCAAGCAAATGAGGATCTTGCATGTAAATGGATTTAATTCAGAGTAAGAATTATTGTTACTTGTGGGGAAGGAACAAAATAAAAACCCTAAACAACATGCATTTAAGTGCACATTAACTTAAACTGAGGAATTGATTTTTCTCACCCTTTTAAATGTAGTTTAGCCATGCTTTGGTTTTGTCAACCTTTCCATCCCAGAGCATTGAAATTACAGCTGAGATATATTATGAGAATCATGATTTGTATTTTCCTCCCCCATGATCTGGTTCTTCTACTGTATTTTACATTGTTGCTACTGCAGTGCTTAATAGGCCCTTGTGTAGCAACAACATGGCGACTACTTCTTACAACAGCAAATACTAAATATCCCCCCCACCATATATAGACACATACATATACATATATATGTATAATAAAATTTGAAATGTATATCATGCACATACATAAAATACTCCACTTTTTCATGCCCACAAAAACCTATTTCACAGGAACTGCAATATATTACAAGGTGTTTTAATTATATTTTTAACTTAGAATTCATTTTTTAGAATTCAGTATAAGCAGTATAATAAAAATTAATTATGATTGGATTGGTTAGGACACCTGCATTTAAAGTCAGCTTGCAACATAAGTGAGGAGGTGACTTGGAGTCCCTCCCCTCAAAGCCCTTATGTATTGCCATTTGACAGGTTGAATGTGACAGAAATAAAAATACCTTTTTTTAATTATGTGCTGAATTTTCGATCATAAAATCAGTCATGGACATTGAGAATAAAACAGCTTTTAAAATTTGGTTGGCAAAGATTCAATAGCAGATTTATAGTCTGTGAACATTTCTTAACATCAATCTATGCCTTTTTTCTAATACAGAGAAAAAAAACAGAAAATTCTGGATATTCGGAAAAATGTAAAAGATGCAATTGTGGTAAGAATACATTTTATTTTTCTTTACAACGTATAGTTTTAGCAATGGGATTGTACATGCAAGAAAATCCTATTTTTCAGATGAAGCCAAATCATTTTCTGGTAGCCCTGTGTTTGTAATTTGTTCATATTAATATGTCGTACTCTTATGTTTTCCTTACCCTAGACTATAGTTTCAGCAATGAGCACTTTAATACCTCCAGTACCATTGGCCAATCAAGAAAACCAGTTCCGAGCAGACTACATCAAAAGTATAGCCCCACTTTCTGACTTCGACTATACACAGGTAAGATTTTAAGGTCCTCTTCCATCTTGTACGTTGAAAATGTATGGAACAATTTGTTTATTATTTTAATTTTTTACGTTTTGTGAAAAATTGATTGACGTTATCATTGACGCTGGAATTGTATTGATGAGCAGAAATTTGATGATTATAATGTTGAATTTTCTGATCTTGAAAATGTTTAAGGGAGGGTTACCAAGGTGTTCAAGCTTTGTAAAGAAAATCAGTTTTGCGAATTAAATTTTTTGTGACAGCTTCCTGTCAGTAATGGTAAATCAGCATAGTAGTGAAAATAGTTATGAATGATTAGTGTAATATCTACAGGTTTGAGAAACCTTGTCTGTTTTGTTGGTGATTGCTTTTTCATGGTGGCAAGATTAGCTGGTGGTCAGGTAAGCCATTTTGGGATAATTATCCTCTTGTATGTAAGTACATGGACAGCAGACCTGTACCACCTATCTAAGCCCATTGATCTCAGTGAGATTTATTTCTGAATTGGCATGTATAGGATTGTATGGATAGCCTTGAGTCCTAAGGTACATTAATTATTAACATTTACCCTAATTGCTAAAAAGCACTATTGGTGGTATGCAACAATTTTAAACAATAAAACATGAAAAGTCATACATAATGTAAAAAGTTAAATTAAAAAGTTAACTTCAGAAACGTGAAAGGAAAGTTATCCATCCATTGCTCCCCTTCCAGGTGCCTGGACCTTCAAAGCATTAGGGAGAGGCTACTGAATAATGCAGCGAGGGATGTGGATAGTAGTTTCAGGCTTCAGAGAATGGGAAACTTTTCTTCCCTGAACTTACTTAAGTTGGCTTACCATAGGATCCAAACCTAAATGGTCATGGCTTGAGAACAGCAGCAAAACGTTTGTTTCTTGTTTGTTGTGTATGGATATGTTCTCCTGAGAATGATGTAAAGAGGAAATACCAATATGATTACTGTAATAACTGATTTGTAGTCATTTTAAAACAAATTACAAGTTTACATTTCCAATAATGAAGATTTTCCTTCGTCTTGTTGATATGTTGAGTGTTATTTTTGTTTACAGAAGGATAATTTGAATATGTAGCATTTTTCATGTATACAAATAGCTGTATTGCTCTGCATTCATTGCAAGGCCTGAACTTAAAAAAAAATCCTGGTTACTAATATGAAATGATCTCCCTCCCCTTGTAATGCAGCAACTTCTGATTACTCTTGGTAGGCAGGAAAGGAGGAAGAAAACTATGCATTTATTTTATGCTAACACTGATCTTATTTGGAGTTTCAGTATATTTTTTAAAGAAATATGACTTTGATATAATTATATATTTGCATAAAAGGTATTTATTCAGAAAACTACTGACATAATTGCTCTCTCAATTAATAGAAATTATTAAAAATGATTAACCTTGTCTGGAAATGGGATTCAATATACAACTGTATGGCTTTCAAGGTTGTGTACCATTTTAACTAGGAGGAAGCCCCACTGAACTCAATGAGATAGACATCAGAGTAGAGATCCATTGTGATAAACTATATTTTGCAAACACAAATGTTAGTTATTATTTGCTTAACCTTTAGTTGCATCTTCTGGAACTCAGACCTAAAAGGCCTCTTCATTTTTTTCAAATATGTTGAAATTATTCAGGCTCTTTCCTGTGCCATTCTTGTGTGGAATTTTCATACATTAAAAACTCATTGTTAATGTATCAAAAAATAAAGTTTGAGTTAGGCTCAAAGGGTAGGATATTCAGTCCATGTGAACCTGTTGTTATATGAGCTTGTCAAGTACAGTAAGCTAGCTCAAGCCTCTTCTGCTTTGATGAAGGTCATTCTTTATATATATGATTTATTTTGAAATCAAGAAGGATGTCAGGCTTCCTTTGAAAGCATGTGAAACTAGGAAATTAAAGTTGATCTTGCAGTCTCATATTTGGACTTCCTGCCTTTGGCAAGAGCAAAGGCACAGAATGTGTCATATTTGTGTAAATAAAGTGATTTATGGTAGACTTACCTTGATTTATTTATGGAAATCAATTTGTAAAATTACAAGTGAAACATGGCATGTTTTAGGCATAAGCAAGTCAGTGTTTTGGCTGTGGTTGGGTTGAGTCATGCAAGTGTAAGTCTCAATGGAGTTTTAAATTGTGATTCTGCACACAATTGCAGTGTTTTTTCATATATGTCCTAGTGTTTGTTACACTATTCTTGTGTTACTACTGATTGAAAGGTCTGTCTTGAGAACCACATGTCTTTAAACCGCAGTTTCCAAGCATACAACTCTTGCAGCCAATTCCACAAACCAAAGCAGCTTTTAAATGCTTCTTCAGACTGTTTTCAGCTACGTATAACACATGGCAAAGCGTGCAAGTTTCAAAACGCATCTGAGTAATGGTATGGCACCCTGGTGTTCAAAGGAGAAAAAAGGCAGAGTTCTACTATTCCTTTTGGCTTGCCTAAAGCAATTTTTGGGATCCTAGCTAATATATATTTGATATGAACTTGTTCTTTTGATTTGGGTTTAGCAATATCCAAAAAACCTTTTACCCCTGAATGACCACTATGCATTGTTGACCTGGAATATACTGAATCCCTGAGCTAAAACAAATCTTTCTCAACAAAACTCTCATCTAAGATTTTATCTAGCCTGCATTGTAACAGACAATGAAGACTCTGTTTTGAGTCTGTTAGTTTACTGTGTTACACTTGTTCAGGTACAGGCCAGGTATAGAATCTACACAGGGAAAATGTTAATAGGAGCCAATAGTTTTATGGTTCCCGCTCCCTTTGGTGGATGTGCAAGTTACTTGTGGGCAGCAGAATGATCAGAACTTACTTTGCTCCCTATTGTATAATTGTGCTGTTTGTGAGGGGAGGAAGTGAAAGAAAATCCATACTCTGAATCTCTGGATCTATCATCCACAAGTCTTCACATGTGGACAGATTGTGGCCATAATGACAATCAGTGTTTTCCTAGGCATGTTTCCTCTTAAGTAAATGTAATGAGGCTACCAACTGTCCATGGAAATACATCCAGTTGAAATCAGTGGGATATGCCTCTCAGTAAATATACTATGGATTGTGTTGCAGGAAGCATAATTTAAATTAGGGCCTCTGCTAAAGATAAAATTATTTGAATATGAAGTGGCATCCACTTATTTACAAGCTAATACAAAAAACATTCATATTGTATTATACAGACTGTCTGGTTTAATCTACATAGATTTAAGTGTAGTAACCTTGAAGTTAGATGTATTTTGTTGCTGTAGCTTTTTTCTTTATCTGTATTTAATAATTTATCACTATCAATAATTTATTACTAATTTATCACTACGTATATAGTGCTAGGATTGGGAGGAACCCTTTCAAAAGCCTTCCCTCCTTCATCCGCAAGCTTTCATGCTTGACCAAGGCCTGCAGAGCAAGCTGAGCCAAGAGGAAGTCTGCAAATACTTGTGGACCACCAGTTGTGCAACTGGCAACCTTCCCCCTCTGGTTGGAGGACATGGAAGGGGTGCTGTGAGCAGCTGCACCAGATAGCATTCCTGGCAACCAGGTTGTGTCCCCACCTTGCACAGCCAGCAGCAGCAGCACTCTAGACACCATTCCCAATTGCCTCCCTTTTCTCCAGCCAGTGCCAGGCATGGAAGAGGGGCATTGCTTGTGTAGCCTGTGGAGCTGATTCCTGGTGAGCTCTGAGCAAATGTCAGAGAACTCAGACTTGTCCACTGCAAATGATTCCTTGAGCATCACTGTAGAGTACTGTATGCTGTGTTTAATTTTGGGAGACAAAGATAATTAATGTTTCCTTTTATCAAGTTTCTTTTATTAACTTTTATATGGATTTATGAAGATAATATTGGTAGAATTTTATGATAAGTTTGATAACTATAATTTGTGTTGTGTTGTATTTCTTTGCTGTGCACCTTACAGATAGTATTGTATTGTCTTGTATTAAGCTATAGATCAGTCTGCAGACCGGCGCCGGTCCATGGGGGGTCCACATCCCACTCACCATGGACCGGCACGGGGGCTGGCTGTGCTTCATCACATCTTCCTCAGATGGCATCGCATTTGCGGGGTGGGGGGGGCAATGCTGTCGGTGGGGGGCAGGAAGGGGAGAGACAGCTCAGTAGGAGCCAGCTGAGAGCCATGCTGATTCCGGTCCTTTGTTCATTTATTTGCATTTTTTCTTGCTTGGTTTCTGGTTGTTTTGGAAAATTTTCTCTTTTTTGATATTGTATTTGGAAACGAATACTCAGAATACTGCATTATATGTAAGGTGCTTTTTGTTTCTGTCTCAGTGGTCCCCAAGGTGGTTTTCTTGATTTTGCTGGTCTGCAACTGTGGTAGGTTGAAAACCACTGCTAAGTTAGAAAAGTTAGAAAATATTAATCATTATCTCCATATATTTAAGGACAATGTCTACAGAAAGTAAGAGTAAGAATGCTACTACTTGAATTGGGCTTTGAGGACAGAGTGATGATTGAGATTTTTTTTAAAGTTAGAGAGTGTTGCTGAATGAACATATTAAGGACATATGCTACTAGCTGTGCAAAATGTATTTTATATACACGTCTATTAGTAAAAGATTATTAAACGTAATGTATTTGAATATTGCAGACAAACTTAACTGGCTGAATATTATCTTTAGATATTTAGAATTTGTTTGTAATTTTAATTTGTAATCTGCATGGACATGTACAAATATTTGGAAGGCTGAACTATATTTAGATTGCAACACTGTACTTATTCACCTAGGAGTAAGTACCACTGAATTCTGTGAAATGTACTGTTCAGTAGCTGTTTCTAGGGCAGTGCTGTTAAGAACTGTTGTTGGAAGTGTGCAGTGTGATATTCTGCATGATTACTTATAAGTAAAACCTCTTGGGGCAGCTTTATAATTACTGTGCTTCAAACAAACCATAGTACCTGTTCTATGTTGCAGTGCATGCCAGGTACCATTTACCTAATCAGCCACCTTAGTGCAGCCTGTTGCATGATTCAAA